CCTAACTATTCTATGATTCTATGTAAAGCAAATTCCAGATAAGGGGATGATGAATGACCTTAAATGACCTGTTATCTCACAGCCACTTGTTTGTTTGCTGTGTATAGCCATGAATACCTGGAATTGTACATGCCGCCCTAGGGAACTGTCCTGTGTTCAGCAGTAGCAGTCATTTTTTTTCCTTCTTAGTAGCTGGTGCAGCGTTGTGTTTTTGACTTTCGGCCTGGGAACAGTGCTGATGACACTGAAGTTTTTAGTTACTGCTCAAATGTTTAGACTGACCAAGGACTTTGTGAGTCTCATGCTCTGCCAGCGAGGAGGGGAAGCTGGGAGGAAACAGAGACAGGACACCTGACCCAAACTGACCAAAGAGGTGTTCCATACCACAGCACATCATGCCTGGGGAGGTAACTGGGAGTTACCCAGAAGGGCACTCTCTGCTTGGTCGGGCTTGTTTCGGCAGGTGGTATCATATTCTCTTCCCTTGTTATTTCCCTTATCATTATTATTAGTGGTGGTAGCAGTAGCGGTTTGTGTTATCCCTTAGTATAGCCAGAAAGGCTCTCTGATATATGTCCTGCCTGAATGACAGGGGCGTGGTCTAGTATTTCATGAATTAGAAAGTTTTTAACTTGTATACGCAGCTGTGATACTGGATGTACAGCATGGAGTTGAACTTGAAACAAACAAACATTTTAAAGGAGCAGTGTTCATGGCACCTGAATGGGCAGGGAAGTAAACGTTAGGCTATTTGATGGTGGTGGTAGTTTTTGAGTCAGATGAAAACTAGCCATACAGAGGTCATTTTGGGCAGTGGGTTTATAGTGAAATATTGAAGTCTCAGCCCAGTTAAGTGGAAAACTTGGTAGAATTCTTTTTCGTGTTGTTGTTTATGGCAGAGTCATCTGTTACTATGGTAGCAAGCAATAAATAATGATATAAAAGGATTAAAATGAGTTCTGGCATTGCTGGCATGTGGTTGGAAGGTTTGTTCTTGGTCTGAATGTTATTCGTGCAAAATATGATGGTGCCTTAAATTGAAAAACAGATTTTTATTTTGATTTTTAAAGCTGCCCATTAGTGACTTATGGCAGTGGTGTCCTGAATGAGGCTGACCCTACCCTGCAGGTCTTGTGTCTTGTAAGCTAGACTTTAAATCCTACTTGGATAGACTGTCTTTGGCTAGTCCACTCCAATGCAACAGTGTCTACAAAGGCACTTCTCAGAAGACTGACGAGTGGGCCTAGAAAAAGATCTCACAGATAAATAACAAAGAGTTCTGAACATTTTACAGCTGGTGTGGTTGTGAATGGAGAGGAACCTGGCAGGAGAAAGGAGGAACATATCAAATATATCCCAGGAGCATTTAGAAAGTTTCTTTTTCTAAATCGGTTTACAGATGAAAATAAACATTACATAGTGTCTAAAAGAAAAGAGATTTTTATTTTGCTTAGCAGTCTAAGAGTGCTTATTCTTTTGCCTGAGGAAAAAGAAGAGATTTGTTTTTAAAGTTGTAGCAGAGGGTAGCAGTAAGCAGGACCAGCAAGCTGCATGTATTTTGTACACATATGTACTGAAGAGAAAAAAGAAGAATGTGTACTTCCACCTTCCTTCAGATCCCGGGAGCAGACACAGTATCTGTACATTGCTATCCAGCACTTCCTTTTACTCAGTTTAGCATTGTTACAAAACAGAGTAACACCACAGCAGTTCTTGTCGGAGCCCCTCTTATGCTGAAGTCTCCTGCAGCCACAATTCATCTGAATTCCGTGTTAGTCCCAGTGTGACCTTACAGATGCAGGCAAGAATTGGTGCATTTTTCCTTTCAAGAAAGAATGAAAATAAAAAGGAATCACATCTTTCTACTCTTTTGAAGCATTCTTTTAGGAAACTGTTGGAAATGAGCCCATAAATAAAAAGGTGCAATCCATGCTCCCTTGGGAATGCTGTGTGGACTGGCAGGGAGTTAGTATGGTATTATCTATCTATGTTAGTATGGTATTATTTTCTTGTTTCCTCTGTATATGTTAGATATAATAATTGTCATTATTGCTTCATACAAAGTCTTCTTTTGATCATAGGAACACTTAGTTGAGGGATCATTTATCGTTGCTATTTGTATATAACGCTTTCAGTGTTAGAAGACAGTCTAAACAGAACAACAGTAACATCAAAAATTACTAAAAAAGAAATTAGGAGGATATTGCAGAACAATGTGACTGCTTTTACACCTGCATCCTGTGTACAAGTGTCTGCAATTGCAAGTGAGTCCAGTTAGAAGATCAGTGGTCAGTCTGGATCTTTGGCTTTAATGTGCTAAGAGCTTTATGGCTAATTTCTTATCTGAGCATCAACACTGGACTAAAAAAGCGGCTGGCAAAGGAAACATGAGGGCAAGGTATGTAAATTAAGGAGAGAGGAGATACAGTGAGGGTGACTCTGCTTGTCACATAACACGGTTTCCCGTTGGAGAGCATCACATTAGTGCTATTGCTGTTGTAAGAAGAAGGGGCAGAAGCTTGCTTTCTGTGGTTTGAAATGCCGTGCAGGTAGTACTCAAGCTGCAAGCTATCAAATGTTTTGATATGTTTGCTAGGAGAGTCCAAATATTTTTAACTTGAGAATTTTCCTTTTGAGCTAGTCGAGCCTGAACACTGGAAAATCTCACTTCTGCAAGATTTAGTAGGAAAAATCTTATCAGCAAGCTTGATAAATGCTGGTCTTTTTGTTTGGTTGCTTCGGGTTTTTTTAGAAAGATTTGAAGACTTAGCTTTGTTGCGTGGTGCTCTGTTGGGGGGCAGTTTCTACACGTTGGGTAAAGGGCAGGGATGTTGTATGGTATATCCTGTGTGAAGAAGCTTCACTTAATTCCTTGCATGTAAGACCTAGAGCAGACTGAAATGCAGTAGATTCTGTGTCTACTTGCAAAATTTGCACTGATGAAATAGCATTTCATGAAATCTAGGTGGGGTATTTGGTTGTTTCTGAAAAAAAAAATGAATTTTAATACTTAACATGTGGGAATGTGCAGGTACATTATCCTATATTGGATTTCCTACTTTAATCCTTCCAGGAGTTAACAACTTCTGCTCAAGAACAGCCACTTGCATTCCGCAGAGGAATGCTCAGTTCCAGGGGAAGTCAGTTGGCAATCTCCTTGCTGCAGGATCCTTAGGACTTCCCCAGAGATCTAAATTTCTGTGCTCAAAGCATTCCTGTGCATCCCTTAGCCTGACCTGCCATCCCCAGTCGTTGCTGGAACTGCCCTCTCTTGGGAATGCTCTGGCTGCTAGAAGATTTCAAGGGGTAGGGAATTTGCCATATCTTTTACCTGCAGATACGTTGTTTTTCCAGCGATGTCTCTTGAACTTAACAGTTTTTCAATAGATTAGAATCCATTTTGTTTTCAGTGAAAGCTGTCAGAAAAAAAATATCAGAAAATTAAATTTCTCTGCTGTAGGGGCTGAGAGACTTCCCCAACTGGGTTGAATAATTCTTATTAGTTAAGACCTAGAAATACCTCCTCTTGGCTCTTTTTTCTTAATAGGAATGCTAGTATTTTTCCCCATGTGTGTTTTATATGTGTATATATACATAAGCCATCTGTAAAGCAGCAATGTGTTTATCATCAACAGTGAAAATACTGACCTGGAAAACACCATATGCATTGATATGGATATAAGGAAAACAAAAACCCCACAGCTGCTCCGCCTGCAGGGCTTTTCTGAATAGCAGAATGGATCAAAGGATGTTTTATTTCCTTGTGAAGAGGAAAAATTCATCACTTTATAAATCACAGCAAAAACAAATCAAATCAATACCAGGAGCTTTTTAATAATAATAATGCATTTCTTATGGCTATCCTCAGTATAGATCTCAGGAGTGGATACTGCACACAGCTAAAAAGAGGGAAATAAAACCTGTTTCTGACACTGGTTTTCATTTAGCATTAAGGAATTAGCTGGAGTACCAGACTAACATCCCAAACACTGACGTGTTTAGAGTCTGTGAGCTCAATCTGTATTTTATAGCTTGAGTTCATCTGAACTGTGAAGTGGTATTGTAAAATAAATTTTTCCTTTCCTCAGAATTCAAGAGCATGTTGAATAGTTTTACTATGTCATCTGTTGTGTGCTGTGGCTGGGTCATTAATGCACTCTGCCCAGTCATTAGCACATTCTGAGTGTCTTCTGTAGACTGTTGCAACTTGAACACCTTTTTTGGTTGATGAATAAAGGAGAAGCTCTGTCTCACCTTCTGTGGAATGCACTGGCTTCTGTACTGATGAATGTTACTGTTGGATGCAGTCATTCATTTTAACTGTGTTGAGAAGCTTTCAAAGACATTATATGATCTTGCTATAAGCCAGCAAATTTGTACAGTATATCAAGGGATGAAAGTTAGTGCTGAGATCACTAAACAACACTTACTTTCAGTGGAGCTTTAAAAAATTCTGGCCTGTGAATTTTGTGATTAGAAGTAGATCATCTATTAACAAGTCAGTGCATGGCTAGGGAAGAGATCCAAGTGCTTCCTAAATTGGAGAAGTGTTGGCTGGGAACAACAGTGAGCAGTAAACAGGGTATAAAAAGCTATGAGTAGTAGAGAAAAGGACTAACAAAAAAAGAAAGTATTTGTATTACCTCAGAAATAACTGAGTCATGCAGTTGCTTGGTGCAGGCATGAAGTTATTAGCCAAGGAAAAAACCTATCACAATTATTTTATTGTCTCTTCCTTTAGTGCTAGGCCTCCAAGACTGAAACAAAATTTAGATGTATATGGGTATTTGTTTTCAGTTTTTCTTACTGACATTTCACGTCTAGACAAGTGCAATGGAGAAAGCCATTTCTTAATTATTTGGTAGTAGTAATTAATGTTCTGCTACCCCTACGCTGACACTTTCTTATACAGCTATTGCATTGTACAGATATCCAAGAATGCTACCACAGTGTTTTTTGCTTAAAGTGTTACATTTTCTTTCCTTTTCTTTATTTTTCAGGTTGACTTTGAACAACTCCAGGAAAACTTGTGTCAGATGGAAAGGCGGTGCAAAGCATCGTGGGATCACCTGAAGGCTATAGCAAAGCATGAAATGAAGCCAACTCTAAAGCAAAAAATGTCTGAGTTCCTTAAAGACTGTGCAGAAAGAATTATAATCCTGAAGATTGTTCATAGAAGAATAATTAACAGGTACAGAATTAGATTGGTGACAGCAATATCTTGGTACTAAATGACTTGCTAAAATTATACATTATGGCATCATAAATATGCTTTTGTATAAGTGTTTCCAGCAAGTAATGTTACCAGGTCTTTTAACTCCAAAAGCTACCAGCTTTGTGGTTGCTAGTTTCTTCCTTCCATGAATATTTGTAAGGGGGGTTTGGCTTACTGTCTGATAAACAAAATCAGGCTGTAGCAAAAAAAAACATTAAGTTCTAATGACAAATTTGTCATATGCAGAGGTTGAAATGAGTCTTGTATAATGGATTTTTGTATATGCAGCACCACTCCTACCTATTTGTAAGATCTACAACTATGTGTTTTACACCTACACAGCAGAAGATTCCTCTCCTTAGAACTTGCTCTTGGGTTTAGTTTCATCCAGTGGAGTTAACAGTAATTGTAGTGCCTTTATATGTGGATACTCATGATACTTCTGCAATACACCTGAGCTTTTTATTTTCAGATTCACAAAAGTAGCTTATGTCAACTGAGTAATTTATCTGTGTGCCTGCTTATTAATGAAATTTTGAGAGATTTTCCAACTTCTGAATCATTTCTAAATTGCTGTGATCAAAATCAGGATCTGGATACCAAATGATCCCAGATTTCACAGAATCACAGAACCATTAGGCTTGGAAGGAACCTCTGGAGATCATCTAGTCCAACAGCCCTGCTGATGCAGGTTCACCTGAAGCATGTTACACAGGAATGTGTCCAGGCAGGTTTGGAATGTCTCCAGAAAGGAGACTCCACAGACTACCTGGGCAGCCTGTTGTGCTCTGACACCCTCACAGTAAAGAAGCTCTTCCTGAAATACAGATGAAACTTCTGTGTCTCAGTTTGTGTCCCTTGCCTCTTATCCTGTTGCTGGGCACGCTGGAAAGAGTCTGGCCCCATACTTTTGACACGCACCCTTAACATATTTGTGTGCATTGTTAATATCTCCTCTCAGTCATCTCTTCTCCAGGCCCAGCTCTCTCAGCTTTTCCTCATAAGAGAAATGCTTCAGTCTCCTAATCCTCCTCATAGCCTTCCGCTGGACCCTGGCCAGTAGTTCCTTGTCTCTTTTGAATTCGGAAGCCCAGAACTGGACACAATTGGATATATTTGTGGATATATGCTTGAGAAGTTCATTCAGCTCTTCCTTTTGTTTTCATGACATAGTTTTCATGCCATAAGTAAGCAGAAATCCTAACTGCAGTGAAAGGGAAGTGAATTCACCAGTTTTTGGTTGTGTTAACCATATGCATTGTGCAAACAAGAAAAAAATGTACTTTCCTATTATGTCCTAAAGCTACTACTATAGTTCTCAAAAAATGTGTCCATGTACTTGCATCTTTCTAGGACTGAGAAGACATATTGTTCTTAGGGACATAGATGCAGTTAAAAGAAATTCCCGTACATTTTTAAACATTCAGTGCACTACTGTAAATCATGCAGTGTAGAAGCAATAGTAAAAGTGGCAAATAGTGTGAAAGCTCTGAATTCCACAGAAGCAGTAAAACTGGGAATTGAGAGTATCCCAAACTAACGTACTTAATAGATAATATAATTTTATGGTCAGTTTTGTGAACCAGAAATTCTTTCCTTCTTGTGTTTGCTAGCCTGTAAATCTGCATTCTTCTTGTCTAGACTTTCCCCAACATCCTAACAGCCTCTTTGAAGTTGCTTAATACAAATAAATAGAATTGAAACTTAATAAATATTTTTTCTATAACTGAAATGAAATTGGTCATTCACATGCCAAATTAGTCATGTAAAGTAGATGGAGTTCCATAAACATCTTAATCTCCTGCATCAGCCTGGGAAAGTGGACTGGGATGAAGCTATCATAGACTAGACTTTCATGGTTTTAATTATAAAACATACCAGTGTTATGCAAGGCATCCATGAAAATTCTGTAGCACGGTAGAAATGATGGGAGCTAATAAAGTAATAAATGATTCGCTGATTGTTTATTTATTTTCCAGAAACCATCAATAAAGATTTTTTTCCCTTTGCATTTATGAACTCACTGTTTTCCAGGTTTCACTCATTTTTGTTATTTATGGGCCATCCTCCCTATGCAATACGTGAAGTGAACATCAATAAATTCTGCAAAATCATCAGTGAATTTGCTCTGGAATACCGCACCACCAGGGAACGAGTTCTGCAGCAAAAACAGAAACGAGCAAACCACAGGGAAAGAAACAAGACCAGAGGGAAAATGATAACAGATGTAAGTGGCAAAATGTATCTCCCACAGCACAGAGTTTTAAAACTTTCTTTCAGTGAATGTCATACATGAAGTGCTGTTATTCTTTTATTCTTAAAAGGTTCTGCTACTGTAAATAATGAACTCTGCTCTCTAAGAAGACAAAACTTTCAAGTCCTTGACTGTGTATATTTTTTGCTTCCTTATCAATTTATAGAATGAGAACAAACTGAAATTAAGCATCCAAAAAGTGCATCTCTGCCTGTTGCACAGATAGTGGCCAAAAAATCTAAAAGACAACAGGAGCTGTGTGTATACCTGATCAGCAAAGAATATGAAAAAGAAGAATAAAAAGCATTTAGATTATAACATTGTAGTCATTTACATGGTTACAACTGAATTTAACTGGAATTTTTTTCTCCATTTTTTAGTATTGTAATGTAATCCTTAATTTTAGTGTTTTATCTCTTTTTAGTGTGTGTGTGTATATATGTGCATGCACACGCATAGCAATTTTCTTCTTAACTGTAAAGGACAGAACAGCCAACTTTATGGGAACAGACTACTTTGGGGTTCTGAAGAAACGGACAAATTTATGTTCACAGTAGTTGTTACCTTGCAGACTTTTTTGATTGCAAGTATGATTGCATGCTGATAGAATAAATTTAACTAAAATTAGTTTTCTCAGCATAGTAAACTTTAAAATCCCCTTGATTTTTTTAAATTTTTTTTTTTTTTAAAGTTGATGTAGTTTGACTCAATCCAAATAAAGTTTTAAGAAGTGCCAGTACTTAATAAAAGTTTCCAGCTGTCTCAGAATCCAAATCTGGAGTCTCAATTAGATGTGAGTGGTTCATTGCACATGAAGCTACCCCTGCCTTTGGCATGAAAAGCTCTACGCTGATTACAGGTTTATGGCTCAGGCTGTGCGGGTCAAAGAAATATATATGTGTTGAAGCTGATATAAATTGAGATCGTATTTAAGTCATTGACTCATGATCATTTGTAGATCTTTCCTGGCAATATCCTCTTTAAATTTGGAAATCTGCCCCATCTAGAGAAAATATTAAACCTGCATTATCATCTCAGAAGATTTTCCTTTTGGTCTAGCCTCAGGTTAAGGACGAGGTACTTATTTTATGTGAAGCATCTAATATAGTCATACAAGTTTTCAAAACTACCAGTGGGGAACTGAGATCACTTCAATTATTTGTTGGTTTTCCAGACTTATTCTAGAGGAACTAAAAGGCAGCATTAAACCAAAGAAATCGGTAAATTAAAATTTTCATTTATTCATATAGCTTCAATACTTACTAGTTTAAACAATAAGTATTATTTTAAACAATAGTGAGAAGTAGTTACATTTTTCCTACCATATCAGGTAGTGTTTCTGTATTACCTGTACAGAAGAACTGGTTGTGGCAGGACAGAAAGCTTCTCTATGTCCTGTTGCTGCAGGAAATGTGGAGGGAAAAGGAAATCTGATCACTGGCATTTGAGTTCAGGAAGCAGAGAGAAGAGATCCTTTCAGGCCAGAAGGCTCGGGCTTGACAGCTAGTCAGCAAGGAGCAGAGCCAGGGAAAGTGGCTGTATTCTGAAAATGTAAGGAAGGAGACAACTAGGCCTTTCCCAGGAAAAAATACTGTTGGAAGAAGTTGTCTTGTTCAGTCTTAAGATAGTGTTGAGATTTGAGTATAATTAGATGCCATCTGAAAGGTAGTGTTCCACCTAAAAATGTCTTGCAGGTCCCCAGAAAGACAGCTCCACGTTTTTTGCTACACGTTCTTTAAAATTCCCCTCATGGAGTTGTTCTTTAAGGGAGTTATTCATGTGGCTATATGGTTATTTCAGGACTTCTTAAATCTCTTTAACTGTAGCCCAGCAATATGGTCTCGTTTACAGTTCATTTGATTGCAGTGCATGGTAGAACAGAATTAAAATTGCATCAGACTATTTGTCACAGCTTCCTTTGTGAACTTCAAAGTTAGATCTACCTCAAAACAAGTTTCCAACTCAGCAGGATGGAAGATATTTATGTGTGAAGAATGATGATACAGAGGAGTTTTATTGTAGTTTTGTGTTGGCTGTGGTTTGTGTCTGGTCTTGATTTTCTTAGTGTTTTATATTTGAAAGCATTGGAAAGGGAAGAGATATCACTAATGCACTGACAGTAGCATTAGTTGCTCACTGGTTGTAGAACACTGGTAGAAGAAACTTTTGATCTTGAGATTGGAAAGATACTTAGTAGAAAGTAGTTCTAATAAGATAAGAAGTAGTCCTGTGGAATTTTTATTTCTGCTTTTGTTAAGTTAGAAGGATTGCTTGGATATTTGATATTTACCTCCCTGTCCTTTAGAAAGTTTCCTCAGGATCTCATTTTTATCACCTTATAGTATGTGGCTTTTAGGCAGAAGAAGAGGGATTTTAGCAAAAATGGGAAAGGATTAAGCCATGCCAGTTCTTAACAAGAAGGTGCATATCTCCTAAACCGTGGTCCCCCCTGCAGACTTGGATGGCAGCGAGGTGCTGGCTCTGTGTAGAGAGACTCTGCTGGCTCCATCCATGGAGAACTTCTATCAGCTTTAGCAACTGCTCACATGGAGTAGGGCTGAGAAAGACGCTATTTCTAGTCTTTCAGCCTTTGACAACAGAGATCTTTATGTTTGCATGTTCTTTAATAGCTGAAATGGATAGAGCACTATCAGTTTAAATCTTGGCGAATGTTGTCTGCAAAAGAGAGAAAGATAGGGGGAATTAGAGAAAAAAGAGAACAGTGAGTTGCCACAGTTTCACACGGAAAATTGTCTGCCTCTGCAACCTTGTATCTGGCTTTGGCCAATGTTAGCACTCACTTCAGGCACACTAAAACTAACAAGCAAGCAAAATAAGAAAAAATGCAATTATAGATATAAGTCTGAGCTTTGTAATGAATTTTCATAATAGTGGGTAATATAAGCATCTGTACCCCAGATTTATGAAGCTCTGCTTTTTACGATACTTAAGAGTTTCACTTCCAAAATTGCTATGTAATATAAATAATATTTTGAAACAGCAAATCCACTGCATAGAAATGTTAGCCTAAAGGAAAAATAAGACCGAAGGAGGGAGATCTCAGATTGTCCTGCAATATTCAATACTGGATGACAGAAGAATCAAGCAGTCTTTTTTTCTTAGAATTAACATCTTGTGCCTGCAAGTATTCACTATCACAGTATTCTTTCAGTAATTTTGGTAATATTACAGAGAGGAGCATAAACTTACTCCAAAGCAAAGCACTTTTAGCTCGGTTAAATGTGCAGGAAGGCCAGCAGATAAGGACTTTCTCTGTACAAATCTACCTTGATGTAAAGTATTAATATCATACACTTTTGTTTGGAGCACAGTCTTTGTAATGTGTATACTCTGCTGTTTCACCTTTCCTTGAGTGCCTTTTGCATATTGTTTAGCTTAATTTGCTCTCCTCCTGTCTTTTATTTATTATATTGATGTACATATGGATTAGAGTACAAGTATGTTCTTGCTTCCTATTATTCACCCTTCTGTTTCTTGTTCATGCCAAAAAGCGAACAGTGGCCTTCTTCAGACGAATTGTTTTATGGTGTGACTTCCTGCCACCTGGGAAAGAAACGAATGGGTCTTTTTAATGTAAAGGGAACATACCTGCCACAGTCCCTCTGCAAAACATCTGCCTGTGTTTCTGTCAGTGCCACTGTGTCCAAAGAAAAATAAGCACCTCACTCTTTGAATAAAACATACCCTTAAAAAGTAATGTTAATGTGCTGTTCAGCACTCTCGCAGCTAATCTTCTTATGGAGATTGTGCTGAAACTAAGCTGAGGGCCAAAGTAAATCAGGCTTTCATTTTTAATGATGAATGTTTCTAGAACAGAATGTATCAAGCCCAGACAGAAATCATAGTTGAGATGGAGATAAGGTCAAAAAAATGTATTAGTAACACTGGGGAGGGGAATAGAATTGGTGGAATGTTTCTTCTAAAAAAACAAACAAAAGCCATAAATATAAAATGCATCAAATTTCTGGCCTATGTTTGTACTCCACAAGCAATGAAACTGAAAATTATGCAAACAAGGAGCCCAGATACTTGGGAAACTGTCCTACTTTGGGAACCTTCCATGTGGGGCATCTTATAACCCAGTGAAGAGTTCCCCAGGCATTTGGGAAGAGAGTTCTAAATATCTTCCTAATTCCCTGTAAATCCCCAAATGTAAGAGTACTCCATATGCCACAATATTTTGATATGCCCATTGCATTACATGGTGTAACTGTCAAGATAGTTTTACATTCCTGCTGTCACAGAGGGTGAAAACCCTGAATGACAAAGGATAACTGCACCTCTCTAATTTCCAGGATCTGATACTGGGCAGCTACTGAAAAACTGTAAGCATCTATTCAGAGACTACTCAGCATTTGATTTGAGTGCTCTGTTAAATTGGAAGTCGAAAGCCATGTCTTAAAATGGAATTAGAAGTACTTAAGTGTAGAGAAAAGGAATTGCCAAGAAGCTGACCTCTGCACTGGGAGGAAGAGCAGCCAAGACCTCCCTGTGCTGAACAGAGCTGGAAAAAGGAGGCTGAATCCTTCCTAGTGCTCTCAATTCCCACAGGGCAGAAAGTGAGCAAGCAACCTCATGACTCAAGGGAAAGAAATAGGATGGGTTAGGATAGTTTCAGTTCATCATTTCTCTATGGGATGGGTTAGGGGAAATTTCAGTTCATAACTTCTCTAAGAAAAATCGTCAATTTTGTATATACCCTACTGACAGTCACAGGCTATTCTACATGCAATTCACTAAAAAAAACAAGCAAGTGGATTGTCTCAGGAATTAATTCCTTATACAATTTGTATTTGTATGTCCTCTTACAATTGCATAAACAGCACCATGGTTACCTCTTACACTGTTGTGGTTTGACCATACTGTCTTTCCTTAATCTTCCTATTTGTCCTTCTCTACCCTGTCCTTTGTTTCCAGTGGCAGACTGATGAAGAAGAAGATGCTGAGGTACGGTTCTCTGAAAGAGCATGTCATTTCCATGTCCCCTGTGTGCTGTGACACCTAATTTCTAACACAGATAATATGGACTGCTCAACTCCATCTGCTCTACTGCAACTAGGAACCATGACATTTTTCACATAGCTTTTTGGCTCAATCATAAGAATGCATTTTTACAGTCATCTTTAACCATAAGCATACCTGTTCTCTTGGATAAAGATATCCTGATCTGAGGCCTTAATAATTTTAAGTTTCCTAATTTCTTTTTCTTAATGTCTGTTTACAAAACTGCGAAGTATCCCCGCTACCCAAAACAGTGGTCTGAATGTTACGGGGATCATTAGTTACCTCAGGCCATGGAATACCATGATATTTTCATACTCATCATTAAGCTGTGGAAGTCAAAATGGTGCTATTTTTCGAAGTTTTCCAAAGCCTCAGGATATAGGGATGCAAAGCAAACTGTAATGGTTATCCTTACTGTATGAATTGCAAATAAGATGCTTCAATCACCATAGAGGTGAGCCATGGAGTAGTTTGTGTCTTTATCACTAATAGTTCCTGCAGGTGATATTGAAAATTAATAAAGGAGTGAATAAATAACTGAAGAACCATAATGCAGTAGCTATATTCATAATAAAACAATGTACTGGTTTGAGGAGCATCTATTGTGCAATGCATTTTTTGTTGAGCATTACAGCTTTCTTCCATTCGCCAAATGTAAACAATGTGGTTTAATGCTCATCGTGTCATAATGGCAGTCATTTGCTCAAGAGTCTGGGGTTTGGGCATTAATCTACAGCAATATCTGAAAATTAAGGAAGTGAAATAAAAGGGCTAGCTATAGAGCTTCTGCTCCAGTGATGATTTGAACTGTATAGCTTGGGGCCTAGGAAGAAAATTACATTAATTCACCTGTTTATGCCAATATTTAACTAACCTGTGTGAATAGTAAATAACAGTTATGTGAAGGCTTTATCCTTTAGGGTTTTTTTCTTGAGATGGTATTGATTAGTTTTGCAACCCATTGTGCATAACAGAGTATTCTTAATGCAAAAATAGCATGCACTCTCATAGAAGTTTCTCTCTCATGTTTTTCTGTCTTTTAATTTCACATATGAAGTTCTATCACTTGCCTGCTTTCCACATCAGAATGTTGCAAGATAATATTTTAAGAAGAAAACAAACTTCTCACTATCAACAACTAAATCTCACACTGGTATATTTATCTTAGTGCCTTGTAGGGATTATTGTTTTGCTACTCAGTTAACTTGCTGTCCTATCTGGAAAAGTCATAAGGTTAAAATAGAATCACCCTGTCATTGTTTTCCAGATTAAGTAGTTTTCATTTGCAGCCTTGACAGCCAGAGGGATTTGGTCAAAGCTAGGAATATAGGGCCCAGTCTTTTCTTCCAATTTACTGTTCTTAGACAGAAAAGCTCTGCAAGTTTGCATCCCTTCACCTGACTGGCTCAGTACCATCAAGAGAATAATTAATGTTGTTTATTATGCAAAGAAAGAACACAATGCAGCGCACCTTCTTTCATCTGTGCTGAATTGGTCAGAGTGAGAAAGATTAAAACCAAAAAGAAAACATATTTCAGTTTCTGATGCTGGACTGATTGACTGAGAGTTATTATCTGTTGATGCCTGTTTGCTGTTAACAGAGGTGATATTTTCTGCAGCCAGGACTGTATTTTAATATGCTTCAGCCTTTCTTGTAGCTAAGAGCAGTGAAGCCGCTACGAACATCACAGCCCTCTATAGGCTGAGGCCGGGAAGGGAGAGCATCCCAGCAGTGCAGGCTCTTCTCCTTAGAAAGTATCTGTTTCTGCTGTTTTCATCAGTTTCTAGATGGCTGTTGTCAGTAAGCAGTGGAGCTGCTGCATCCAGGCACTACGTGTGCCCAGATAATGTAGCTGCTGTTGTTCACGTAGTCGTGGTGACAGTGAAATCACGGGGGGGCTGGGGAAGCAGAGGGCAGATTCCTAAATCTCTTGTAAGGTTTTGTTTGTTCTTCTAACTGCTGACTGCAATTTTTGTGTGTTGGCCATGAAATAATTTGGCTGGGTGATTTGCGACAGGGGATTTTTTCAGCATTACTGGTAATGAATTAAGGTTACTTGTGGATATTTGTGTTTTAGAACAGTTTGGGAATTTTCTGTGCAGCAGGGCAGAGAGACAAGAGGAAAAGGTGTCTCTTCCTAGACCAGTCTCCTCATTTTGCCTTGTTACTGAAAGGTGATTGAACAGAAAAAAGTAATTCCTTATTTGTGTCAGGTCTCATGCTGTTCCCCTCAGTGTCATACCTGACCCCTGACTGGGTCCAGCTTGGGTGAAAGGTTTCAAAGCAAGTCCTTGCTTTATACCTTACACTGTCAGAAGGTCAAAATTCTAAAGCCTAAGCCAATACATCTGTTTTTCCTCTGGTTGTATCTGCTCCCTGCTGTCGCCTTGTTTCCAGTTTATCTCTGCTCAGGGTTTGTGCGCTGGGAGAGGAGCAACTGTTTGGGGCATGGCTGCACTCCAAGCCCAGGGTGACACTTTTCTCCTTTCAATTCACGATTACATCTCTAGCCTATTCTCCATGCTGTTTTCTGTTAAAACAACAAACTTGTTTTCTCCCTCAGTCCGGCAAGTTTTCCAGCAGCTCACCCCCCTGCCAGAGCCAGCCCCAGGGCCTGCAGTATGCCGAAGATGCTGCAGAGCATGAGAACATGAAGGCTGTACTGAAGACCTCCTCCATTGGTGGGGAAAGCACCACAACACTTGGGGTCCGCACTCGAAGCCGGGCCAGCCGAGGTAAGTGCCAGGAGTTTCCTTTGGCCACACTTCTTGTGGTATGGTAGCCACACAGTGGCCCAAATGTGGGTCGTGGCTGTCTTGCGTAGCACCTGCAGCAGAAAGGGTCAATGGGGAAGGAAAAACACACCAGTGGTGTTTCCATGCTGGAAGTGGTGATGTGGGGCACAGGGATGTAGAAAGATTTGCCTGAAGTTTTAACATGTGTTTCACAGCCCAGGTGGTGCCTGGGGACATTGAGAGTCAAGACTGCAGAAATTCCCACCTCTCGACCCACTGTGAACATGGCTCCCAGCTAACACCCCAATATTTATTCCTGTTCTCATCAAGAAAGCAAAGTGAGGCATCTCAGAACCTGTGATGTGGTTTTCTTTTTATTTTCAATAGAAGCAAGTAGAAAGTACCAATTCAAACTAAAGTGAAAGGGCTTTGCTGCAATTTAGGAATAAGTGGGGAGACGAAAATGGGTAAGAAAAAGATGATGAATCTTTTAATCACCTCCTTGCTAAACTGTAGAGGAAGTGGATTAAGTAGAGACTGGGAGTATAAAAAGCTGAGGTGGATAGCACTGCATCTCCTTGCTGTCCTGGCTGATGCCTCTTTCTCTGAGGTCCACAGTGCTCTGCTGTTTCCAAGCGTCAGCATGGCACAGCATGACAGGGAAGAAATGAAAACCTGAAGCAATCCACCGATTCCAACACCTGATGCTCTCACATGAGCTCACTGGTACAACCATTCTTGGCAATGAGATAGACTTGGTTTTTGTCCAAGACATAATTTTGCTGGTACACCTCTTATTCAAGCAGCCACTAAACTGCTTTCTTTATGCTAAATCATTTTACAGACAGTGGGTTCACCAGTTTATTTTCCTTCGTCTTCCCCTCCCCTCCTCCCATACATATGATACCAGAAAGATGGTTTTGGAGTAAAGGTGATGCACAAAACCCTAAGTCTTAAGTTTTCTCTTCTGGTATTTCTTTTCCCTCACATTTGGAGACCTTACACCTTCTTGATTCTTTTCTGGTACCACTGATAGCACAACCAGACCATCCACCGCTGAGTCTGTGTGTGTGTAATTTATTAAGGCTCAATCCTGTCTAATTTAGAGGTTTCACAGCCTCAGTTTAAGAAGCAAGTCAACTACTTGAAGTACAAAGATGAAATAATTCAGACTGCACTGCAGTGTTCTGAATAGCTGAAGTAATCCACTGAATGCTAACAGGCAGTGTGTCCTGATAATGAGAGTCAGCTTCTGTTCACCTGAAGAACAGCAGAGGCAGAGGATGGGGGAGCCAGACAGAAGCTTGTCATGAGCACTGTCATAACAGAACTGCTCTTGATGAGAGTCAGGAGACAAGCAGGAGAGCAGAGTGATAATCAAGGCTGTTGTTTACTGGTATCAGGGACCTGATATAAACTGCCCTTGCAAATGAATGTTTTTATCTGCTTGCAATTCTGCCACAGGCACTCTTTAGCAAAGCTCACTGTCAGTGTTCACACTGCATACTAGCCTTCACATTAAAAAAAACCAAAAAGCACATGCAACAGTAGCCTGTAGTGGCAGAACCCAAAGATGTGTCTTTGGAGTGAGGAATGCCAGAGCCTTCGGTTTGGAGACATGGCTCACTTGTTTGTTTGTGGTTTTAACCAAAATTGCTTATTTAGCTTTTCAGCTTGCCAACAACTCTTGCTCTTCTGCTCGTAACAGAGTACATGCAGTTGTGCCAGGACACATACAGCTTTGTGATGAGAAGGTGAATTCTTCATTGTGGAAAGGACAATGAGACATGTCAAAGCATGCTTTTTTGCCCTTTTCATGTTGTGTTTGCCATAGGCTGTGTGATACAGATGCTCAGAAACTGATTCTCTCTTTTGGTGCACAGGACTTGTCTTGCTGATTTGCATCAATCTCTAATATGTGCCATGTGTGCTAGTCTCTTTGTAATAGGAGTGGAAGGAAACTTGGTCACACAGCACTAGCAAAACTTGGTTTATAGTCAGTCTCTAGCAGACCTTTGCCAGTCTGGTCAAGAATAAGACTCTAAGGCTGAACGGAATAGAAAATTATAATTGCATTTGAGCTCTCTCTTCTCTGCTGATACAGCAGAGGTTCTAGGGTATTATTTAGTAATGTTCTCCATTAGGCAGAGTCTTCTCCTTTGGCAAATTTGAAGTAGTGATGACTGAGCTTCCTGCTGTAATTCCCCCAAAAACCCAATTGCAAAACCAAAGTGACGCAAGAGACTGTGTCTTCTTTTCCCTCAATTAATTTGCTGGACTTTTCCAGGCCGTATTGGTTCATGGAATGCTGGCAACGACGATTCACCTAATGCAACAGATGATGCAGCAGATGAGATCATGGATCGCATTGTGAAGTCTGCCACCCAAGTGCCAAGCCAGCGAGCGGTGCCTAGAGAGAGGAAGCGGTCACGAGCAAATAGGAAGTCATGTGAGTATACAGCTATTAAATTTCACAAAATAAGCAAATGTGCAAATTTTTATGTGTATTCATGGAAGGACCAGGCCTTTAGTAGGCAGACATATTGGTAGTTCATAGTAGCTTGAGTGTATACTTATAATTAGTCTGTATTCCTCTTACTGTTGCTTAAATTATGTTGTATGCAGTGGGTAACTCTGTCTTCTACAGAATTTGAAATGTCCATAGCAGTAAAAGAAGAATAATAGTTTATGGTGCTCTGTAGCTGATGACAGTACTTATTCGTACCTAGAGAAGTCAGATCAGGACATCGAATGGAGACTGCTTAAAATACTTTAAGGTACTACTGTGAACTGGCATAAAGATGATTAGTTGTATCTCTAGTAGAATTTATTCATAAAGCAAAAAGTTCTTTGAGATATTTCACCTTTTAAAATCTTTCTCTCTCATGCTGTGTACTATCCTTCCACAGCCCTGGAAACAAAATGTCCACTGCTGCTTGGATGCAAAGTAGTTATAAAGCAGGTTAACCATCACAGGGAAGAAAAGGTACCATGTTTATAAGGTGGTCTTTCAGCAGTGTAGAATGGCGACAGGGCTGAACTGCGATACACAAGTTTGAGCAATTTAATTTCACACTGATAAATACAATGTTTAAGAAGTGATGGTCTTTCTGGTTGTGTTTTATTCCTTATATTCAGAGACTACTGCCATTACTGTGAGAAGGATAAGTATCCAAAGAACATAAGATTTTAGTATTTAATGTCATTCACTATATGTGGCTTTTTGACTGCCTTTCCATCCATCTTTTTAGCATTTCTGGGAAGTTAGGACAAAGAGGAGACAACAACAGTGAGTGAAAAATCACACAGATTTTCCTTTTTTTTGTGGAATTTTTCTAACATAGAGGGTGATCAAAAGCATTTGGTGTAAGAAGTTATTGCTATAAACTAGTATGTGCTGACAGCATATTTACTTTGCCCAGCATTCTAAGAAAGAAACTTGCATGTGACAAGAGCAAAAGCAAAGTGGGCACTTTGGTTAGCCAGACTTCAAGCAAGGAAAATGAGCTGACACTGGATTGTCTGTCTTTCTGTCACACACTGTGCCGTACCTCTTTGTGGCATCACCTTCTGCTGCTACCCACTTCCCCAGAGAGTTCTGGCATTCTGCATGGGCTGACTACCCTAGTTGGCTTGTGCGTATCAAATAAACCTTCTGTATGTTTGCCTATTACTATGGTTCATCCCATGCTAAAATATTTCCTCTGTTAGCAGCACTACATTCATCCACACACACCAAAAAGTCTTATTTCTGCTTTTTACCTGGTGCCTTTTTCCCAAGGAACCACTTGCTGCAGAAAAAAAAACCCAAACCAACCAACCAACCAAAAAAAATATTCTCAGGGTAATGATAATAAAAATATGATACATTTTTCCATGGAGCAGGCTTTTACATTCAGTAAAAACATTAATGGGGATTAAGCATTCAGTAAATGTTTAGGCTGGGACTGATTTCCATTGTAATTAATCATGACCTAACTATTCTATGATGCTGTGACAGAAACCACTTCTTTTGCTTGTTTGTTCTTCAAGATCTGGATGAAACTTTTAACTGGACTAAAAGGCAGTTTCAAAACAAACATAAAGTTCAGTAGTTTAGTGTCCCTTTCAGCTGACGTGTGGTGAAAGACAGTGTGAAAAGAGTATCTTAACTGAACTGTTTAGCTCTGGTAGTCAGTATACGTAGATAATGAATAAATTAAGTAGTTTAGCTCTAAAATACACTCAAATGGACTGATAATGTGGCATCTGCAAGAAACGAACAGAGGCTGGCCCTTGTCAATGCATGATGCAAATTAAACAAGAAGATCTTCAGGTAGAAATATAACACAGGTCCTCCATAAACCTGTTAGAAAGTTGATTTTTAGACATAATTCAATGATATATGTTAGCAGTTATTTATTATCTGCAGAGCAAAGAAAGCCCATTATCTGATGGGTTTGATTCACCACCTGCAATCTTCAGGCTCCCATACACATCCTTTGGCTTTTGCCTTGAGCTTGGTAGTCACTCTATCCATGGACATCAAAGCACAACTCAGTTGAAAGGGGTGATTTTCACTATGCATTATATTGCATATGTCTCGTTACTTTCAGTGCAGAACTGGAAATCTTGTCAGGCTTACTTAGCATTTAGCAAAGATATTAGTGAACCTGACCTGAGTTACATGTTCAGAAACCACAAGATTCATATGCAATTGCACTGTAAACATTTTCTGTGGTACAAGTAAAAGGTTCTTGTGGGCAAAGGATATTTTTTGCCGTAATAAAAAAAAGACAGAAGTGAAGTAAAAAGGATGCTCAGGGCATTTACATCTAGGGGAAAACAGAAACAGGAATATGGAAAAGGTTAAGTTCAAGGAATAGTCAGGAAAACAAGACATTTTGACATGATCAGTTGAACCAGTTTACCTTTTGTAACTGTTGAGCAGCATGACTGTATCCAGTATGCAGAGAGCTTAGTTACATCTTAATGACATAGAAGAGTTTGAATTCTCAGACTAATCAGCAGAACTATAAATTGGGAAGAGGAATAAGGCAGTGAGTCATCCAACGAAAGGCAGATGGAAACATCTGTGCCTGTTTGTTGAAGATATGAAGGGTCACTGATATATCCAGATATGACTGAAGTCAATTGAGACCTAGCAGGGAGGAATTTACTCAGTGGGAGCTGAAATGGACTACAGAAAACTAAGGTAGATGGTAAGTGCATAACAACTGAGTTTCTGTGATGATCTTCAGGGAGAGAACTTAATTCTGTGCTAGACCTTTACACATTGGAGGGTTTTAAGGATAAAATTTGACATTGAGAAGTACAGTAACCAAATGGAAGTCATTACCTCATGATGGGGGGTCAGTGCCCTGCCTACCAGAAATACTAGAGTGATGTTATATATGAGAAAACAATCTTACAGTTGTATTCGTTCATTAGAAGCCTCATCAGAAAGCCACAGGATTCAATTAGGCACAGAAACTGAAATGCTGTTACCCCTCGAAGTGGTGGTTCAAAGACAGTTTCAAGGCATGTTGCCATAGGAAGCTTCTGCTGTTTTGTTTCGCTCTAATGTCCTTATTCTGTGTGTATACAACAGACCCCAGCCTCCGGAGAAGTCAGTTCAGCATATTTTAAAACCATAAAATACAAATTAGGTTGAAAATACGCTGTTTCTGTTCTTCAAGACTAAGGGCAGCTTTCTGTGAGAAAGGTTTTTATAACAGTTTTTTATAACATCAACTTAGAAAAGAAATAAAGAATAATATTATTAGGATTGTCTGGTTCTCCCATAGGGTTAGGATGACCTTCACAAATGATGCCATAATAAACAATGAGTGCAAAGGAAAATCTGGATATGGAAGTTTTGAGAATCACGCTATTTGATAGTCCAAATTCTAATTAATAAAATTGCTGAAGTTAATTTTAGCAGTTTACAGAACAGTTTTACAGGCATTGCACCAGTGGGAAAATAAATATTAAACTCTCTGCATGAGATACCACTGAGATTTCAAAAAACAGCCAAGAAAGGAGGTTATTTAATACAGAGAACTGAATTTACAAATTTCAGATAACTGCACCAAGGAAATAGCTCTTTAAAGATAGCTGGACTATACAGCACTGTTTGCATCTGGTAGGGTGCAGGCACAACTAGTATTTGTTGGTGAGTAGCACAGTTGTGGTTGTATTGGATTTTGCCAGAGATGCTCCATGTGGATGTTGCAGAGTTAAGAGGCTTATTTGATTTCAGAATCTTTGTCTGTGTGCACTCTTAATTTATCTTATATTTTATTAACATTGAAAATCTGCTTTAGATGTGAGTTAGTGAAGTGTGGGGTGACTCCCTGCCCATCGTAGGGGGGCTGAAACTAGATGATCTTAAGGTCCTTTCCAATCCTAGCCATTCTGTAACTGTATGAAATGGGTTTGGAGGAAGTAATAATTGAATAAGAATTTAATCCATTGTTCTTCTATTAGGCTTTGGAATCACATGTGAGCTTAATAATATACCTTCTGACTGACTCTTGAGATATGGAAACATCTCATAAGGATTTATTGATGTATTTGCATGATGACTTGCAGGGAGTAAAATCTATAGTCATTAAGCAGAAATGGATGGGAGGCACCACCCAAGAAGTCTGTTAGGCTCATATGTGTGCACTGTGGAGGAGATAGGAACTGAGTTCGGATTACCCGAATCCTAGACAAATACGTTCAGGGCTGGTGGATTAAACTTAACAACAGAACATCCCAGGCTGGGCATTTCATATGAAATTGCACCTTCAGTCAAAGTGAAATAGGAGTTAGCACACAGTCATCAGGTGCCAAAACATGGGAAAGAGCTCTGCCAAAGGACCAGGCATGGAGACAAGCTTTAGACAAGTTTGGAGACAAGTTTTAGTAACGTGCAGTGCTGGTTTGGAATAAACATGTTTGTAAGTAAAAAAATGCTACAAGGGAGACTATTTGAATCTAAAGGTGTGTAATTTTTATTTGGCATTCTGAGGGTGCTTTGGTTAACTTTTTCTTCTTCTTTCCTTTGTTTTTTTCATTCTTTTTCATTTTCATGTCTCTCCACTTACTTTTTCTGGCTATGAAAAGATGCAGAAGTGCCAAAATACCAGGAGGGAGACTGTTCCTCTGGTATTTATAGCCTGACTAAAAGCAGGAGTTAATGGAAATTATGCTTTTAAAAAAATAAAAACCTTAGATACAGAAAGTCTGTATAAAATGCTTTAAAGGCAAGCAACTTCTCTTAGAATTTGAGTAGCTCCTATCAGAAGTTAGAGGGAGCAATCTAGTTAGTGATGCGCATTTAGCAACAATTCTTTGCATTTAGAAAAAGTAAATATATCACAAATTAGATTCACTACCAAAGTCTGTTTGTCCTCACATGAAGTACCGAGCCTTCAGAAGGTCAATACTCAGTTAATAAAAATCTGATTATTGAATGAAAACAGAGCGTGAGATAAAGCACTTAAAACTCTGGCAGCTGGAAGGTTATCTCCATTAGATGCCAAGATAGCTAAGGTCTTTTGGATGACTTTTGGATGTCTTTCAAGTAATACATTCTTTCATCCTTAGGATGGCAAGATCTTTGCAATATAATGATGAAACTAAACTCCATGATCTCCACTACATAAAATAAAACCATAGATAAAAAATAGTCACAATAATGAATGAATAATAAATACAGTTGATCACAGTGATCTGTGGAAATTGATGTACCTAATCAGGGTGAGGCCTGGGAAGTCCCATATCTCATCTGTGCCATATGCCAGCATCAGCAGCTGTAGGAGAATCACAGAAGTAGGATAATTTGAGTAGACTATAGGTCTCATCATGCATTTTAATAGTTGTAATTCAGCGCATCTGTTTGAAGCAGAAGGTTAAATAGATAGTTCGATGTTTTTAGTTTTGTCAATTGTAATTGACGACTTATAATTGTGGTTATTGATATTAATACCATTTCTAAGTAGGTATGTGTTTAAGTGTTCAGTTTCTACTTTACAATGTTGCATTACATTGTTACATGTTGCAATGTTGTATTTTATAGCTTTCTTTTAAGGTAACTGATCTTGACAGACGGGGGCAGGCATTCTTGTTAACTGTTCAAATGTGTAGTACCTGTGTATTTTGTTGGCAGTTTCCATGAGTTTCAAACTGTAGCTTTCATATCTCAAGTTTTGTTTCAAGAATGTTTGCCTGGTCCTAGAGCTATGAAAGTGAAATTGCCATCATTCTGTACAGCTTTACAACATGTAGCCTTCAATACAAAAGATATTTTGAAAGCCTGTT